TGTTCTGGTTGAATGTTTATTTCTTCCTTTTGCTCCAAATCATTGATTTGAGTCCTGGTTTCCTTCCCTTCACTGTTGGTTCCCTGTGTATTTTTCTTTATTTCACTTTGCATGGCCTTCACTTTTCCTGTATTTTGTGATCATACTCCACCATTTCTGTAAGCATCTTGATTATGAGTGTTTTGAACTTTGTGTCTGATAGGTTGGCTATCTCTTCATTGCTTAGTTACTATTTTTCTGCAGTTTTGATCTGTTCTTTCATTTGGGCCATATTTCTTTGTCTCAGCACTCCTGTTACCTTTTGGGGGCGGAGCCTTAGGTATTCACTGGGGTGGGGGGCGCGGGGCAGCCCACATCACTGCATTGTGGCAAAGTCTGGATGAATATTTTTCCCTTAACTCCTTGGTTGTTGGACTTCCATACACTTAGATTTTCTGGCAGTTCTGGTTGTTTTTGTTTTTAAATTTGTTGTTGTCCTTCTTTTGTTTGTGCAAGGAGACAAAGTGTATCTACCTATGCCTCCATGTTGGCTGGAAGTCTGATCAGATTTTTTTTTCTATTTTGTCTTCCAAAATGTTGATTTGACCCTCTCTTTTATCCAAACTACTGTTTATTCCTTCCAGTGTATTCCTGATGTCAGATACAGTATTTTTCATTTCTGACTGGTTCTGTTTCATGGTTTCTATGTTCTTTTTTATGCTGTTGTAGTTCTCACTAAGTTTCTTGAGCAACCTTAGAAAGATTATTTTGAACTCTGCATTTAATAGATTGCTTGCCTCCATTTCATTTAGCTTTTCTCCTTGAGATTCCTCCTCCATTTATTTGGGACCTGTTTCTCTGTCTCCCCATTTTGGTTGTCTTTTTGTATTTGTTTCTATGCATTAGATAGATCTACTATGACTTTCCATATTTATGGGTGGCCTTATGTAGTAGGTGACCTGGAGGACCTAGTGATGCACTCTCCTTGATCTCCTGAGCTGGGTACTCTAGGAATGTCCCTTCTGTTCAATTGAGTCTTGATTGCTGTTGGCCTGTTGATATGTGGGACTGACTTTCATGCTAGTTGACTAGGGTTCAACCTCAACCATGGCATTTGAGCTGCTATGCAGGTGCTTAAAACAGGGGAAATCTGGAATTCCAAGGAAACTCATGCAACTTCACCCAATGCAAAGTGAGGAGCTGGTGGGGCACAATGGGCCCCCGTTGGTACCTAGCATGGGTCCAGGTCAATGAAGTGGTCCTCATTGTCTTATCTGGAATCCTGCCACTCTAGGCTGTATTAAAATGGCCTGATTCACAGCAAGTGAGCCAGCTGAGCTGGGTAGGCTCAGGAAAGCTTTGCCATAATTGTTATAACATTAGTTACATTTTAAAAATTGGTTACATTTCTATACATCAGAAATAACTGATTCAAAAGTAAAAATACAATAAAGCACCAATCACAATAGCAGCAACACCTATAAAATGTCTAAGAATTAATTGAGCATATATAGAACCTCTGTGGAAAAAGTAAATTTAAAAAAGCATAATAAAGAGCAAAGAAGATGATTTGAATAAATAGGGAAATACCCTTTGCTCTTGCATGGGATAACTTAATATTAACAAATAATCAGTTATTCCCAAGTGGCTCTATAAATTCAATATAAATCAAAATTCAAGTTTAACTTTGAGGAACTCAATAAACTTACTGTAAAGTATGTATGAAAAAGTAAAGATCCACAAAGAAGTACACAAATCTTGGGGGTGAAGAGAACCAGAAATGAGTGTCCTCCCTGAGCTCCCAGCAGGAAACGAAAAACTTGGTCTTCTCTTGTTACTGAGGTCTTGTCCTCGTCTAAGGCCAAAGGAAACCCGAGTTTTATATCTTTTTCCCCAACCTTGGCTTCTTTCCTTCATATTACAAATGTGCCAGCTGTTCTTTATCTGTCCTTCCCAAACCACACTCCTCCACCCTGGTTACTGCCTGGGGTGCTTGCATGCACAACATCACAGGCTCCCAAGCTCTTTGCTTCAAGCTCCTTGCTTTCAACCTTGCCCCAAAAGCTGAAGGAGGAGGGCGAGGTCGGGGATTTTGTTCCCTTGGCTCCCTTCCTGCAAAGTTACCTTGGGCTGGCTCTGTCCCTTGACTGAAGGAAACTGCTGCTGGCAAGCTAGTGGCTCTATAGACCCTATAGAGCTTGCTGTCCTGAGTTGATAAGCTCATCAGTCCCTTGTCTCTTCAGGTCTTGGGGTAGTGACAGCTCACCTACTGTGCCAGGTCACTTACCATCTGTCACCCACTTCTTTGTAACACTTCCTTGTAAAGAGACTCTCCTTGAACTATCCTACTTTGAGTGTGCCCTGTTTTCTGTTGTGGCCCTGATACAATGAAAGCCATTTATTTCTTCATTCACTGCCCAGACCAGTTTGGCCAGGGGCTCTTGGAAGCCTCATGTACAATGGAAAAGTGAGAAAGGAAGGGTTGGGAGAGCAAGTAAACCTCTGCCTGGGAACAATCTCTGTGTATTTGCTGCCCCCCCACCCCGCCCCCGCAGCTCCTGCGGCCTGGTCTGGCCAAGGGGTGGCAGGAAGCACCAAGGTGGTATGAGGTCTTCGGGATGTCAGGCCCTCCATGCAAAACCAAAGTGGGGACGGAGTTAGACTCCACCATCATCTGTCATTCAATATCCCCAATTTCACTTTACAAACAGAACTACCTGAGAAGATGATCTAAACATAATTTTCCTAAACGTTGAGATTAAATACCAGTGCCTGTCTGTTCCTTTCAACTGAATGTGTGCATGAGTAAGGAAACAGAGAGAACCTGGAACACAGAAACATGCTCTCCCTCAGGAAACAACGCTGAGGACACCTAACCCCCACTGCTGTGTATTTGGGCTTTACTACCATTTCCTTAATGGTCAAAATAAAAACCTCAAACTTGAAGTCAACACAGCTCTCTAAAGTAGCATTATCTTCACTGATGGTTGAAGATTCTGTGCATGCCCTCCTGAGCATAGAGCCAGTTCTTTTATGATTGAAGAGTGGGGCTATGCGATCTTTAAAGTCAATTCCAGCTCCAAGTTCAGCTTTTAAAACAAACAAGATATTGAAGGGAAGAAATCATTTGTTGTGCTATTTGGATTAGATAACCCAAAATCCATCTCTCTCTCTCTCTCTCTCTCTCTCTCTCTCTTACACACACACACACACACACCCCTTTTTGACATTTCGTTATGTTCAACATTCTACTGTGCTCATGCAGTTCTGGAGCTTGCCCCCGTAACCCCTCCTCTACCTCCCTTCCAGGTACCCGTCACTCCCCTGTGTAATGACACATACATCTTCCCTTTTCTCCCTATTGTAATCTGGTGTCCTGGATCCCAGGAGACCTAAATAGAGCTTTTCTGCTCCCCATCTATATGGGAACATACAAGGTTAGGGCAGAGAAAAGACTGCATGGGAGTCTCCAGAGGGGGACAGGAAGCCATCCAATTAGCTAACCCTTCTAACCCTTTGCTTTCCCCTGAGGATCTTGCCACTTTGCATCTCTCTGCTGTGACCAGATCCAGGCCCTTCAGACGTGCAGCTTCTTCAAAACCGTATAGGAACAGACAAAACCCAAAGCCCTACCCCAAGACTAGACTAGAATTTCAAATGGAATTTGCTTTGTCAAACAAACAAAAACAAGAACAGTGAATGGAAAAATGAAAATGAAACATGACAAGACTTCAAATAGGAAGTTATTAAAGAAACACATTGTCAAGTAAAAGGAGATTACTTACATGATACCCAAGCTAATTAGTTAAACACTATATAAAAACTTAAATAGAAAATGGATAAAACTTATGAAGATTAATTTCTGAGCCTGCATTTACCAATTAGCACAGCATACTGTACACTTTCTCTTCCTACTTTCATGGCCTTGCTCAGAGAATAACCATTTCGAATTCATGAGCACTTTCCCCTCTCAATGACTTCTTCAGTAAACTTCTTCCAGAAAAGATGCCCTGGTCACAAGGATTCTTCTGTAGAAACCATGGGTGTGGAAGCTCTATTCATGGGTTGGACAAACACTGAGCACTTACGTGGGACATCGAGTCTGTATGAACAGTGCTACTCCCACTCTTATGCAGGCCCCCATCAGCATAGAAACTGTCCCAGGCTGAAGGGGCCTAGTCCCCATGGCAAGCCCTCCTGCCCACCCACAGCCATGGACATCAGCACACAAGAAGATTCCGCACAATTGCCTGACCCTCCCAGGTCATCAGATCCTGATCATATGTGTTCCTGTATAGATACCCCCACCCAAACAAGCCCCTGTAACTCCTGGTTCTCCCTCCACAATCTTCTGTTAGGCTAAGTTTGTCGAGTACTTATCATTTCTGAGTTTGTTTGGGGTTTTGTTGTTGTTGTTGTTTGTTTTGGTTTTGTTTTGTTTTGCCTGAAGTCCAGTATCCAACTCTTATTCCAAAAGCAGTGGCACAGCCCCGCTTTCCGAGTCCAGGAGGAGTTGCTCTTCACCAGACACAAAGAGCACCTGGCTCCTGCAGTTTGAAATCCAGTACCCAACAGTGGCTGCCCCTTGGGTTTGGGGAAGGAGGGAACGGAATCTGGCTCTGAAGAGTGGTGCTCACCAGCACAAGGGGCCTCAGAATAAAACAGTCCAGTTACATCCCGCTCAGGTAGACAAACATCCTATAAAGAACTCACTCTCATACCTTAGAGAAGTTATTTAACCTCTCTGAACCTCACTTTCTTCATGTGTGACTTGGAGGGAGGCAATTTTTCCCTTGTGGGGTTATGGCGAGATATTGTACAAATATTAATCTGTCAACCCAGTGCTAGGTCATGATTGGCACTCGAGCTGTGTTCTCTTCCCCACTTAGGATATGGATGAAATAACCACCAGCACTCAGATCTGAAGTTAAGCTTTGCCCCCTGGATCCTGACTATTTGAGGGTCTGTGTCAGGGTTGTGACGATCAAATGAAATAACGTGTCTAAAGCACCTGGTGCAATGCCTGGCCCAGAAAGTTGAGTCATTATTGTGGGCTCGCTTTGTTCCACCCAATGTTCTTAGTCATATTCACATACAAGCTCATTTAACCCTCATAAAACCTTTTATGAAGCAAAATAAACTGTTAATCCCTTCCTCTACCTTACTCTGTGACTCCATCCTACCACAGTTCAATTTCTTCTTATGAATTATGAACTTTAAAACAGCCCCAAATTCTATCTTTCTAGATGGAGAAATGGGAGGAGGACTCTCCACTCAAGTCGGAAAGAATCAACCCCAGTCCCCAACTCTACCCATAGTGCCTCCCCAGTGCCTCAGGAAAAGGCATGGAAAAGCCATCCTTCCACCAGAGTTTATTCCTCAGAGATATCACCAGTGACTCACTGCCCTCTGTGTCTGAGTGGGGCTCCCATGAAGGTCTTTAGCCTTCCTCCCCAGATTATATTGACCCCAGAAATACAGCCTTGGACAGTTACTTGATTACAGAATATTCCCAGAAATGAATTTCCCTGTTTCCAAGGTTTACATGGGGAGGAGACTGGGAAACATAAAGAATCAGATGGGGAAGCCATGAGATCCAAGAAAAATTGGAGGGTTTGAGGATGTTAGAGGACACAGAAGCATCACTAAGAGTTTGAATCTCCTTCTCACTTGGAGTGGAAGTTGTAGGATCCTGCCTCTAGGAAACGTGCCGGCCTGCAGAAGAAATAAAAAGGAGATAATGAGGCTTCAAACCAACTTGACCCCCTCATTTATCTCTATAACCATCATGCCAGAGCCCTTAATACAGTGATACTGAAAATTCTGCAGCTACCTTTGGCCTTCTCCCTGTGACACTCCACTGGATAGAAGAGGAGGGTAGGCTCTCCTCTTTCCTGCTCCTAATTCCAACGGTGGCTTAAATCATACTGTTGGCCTGATCCAGGTGGAAGCTCACCCCTACTATAAGCACCTTAGCTGAACCCAGCACTGACCCCTCAAACTTCACCCCTTCCAAAGGACCAGTAGGCAAACAGACCAACACAGATGTTACCTTCTGGAAAATTGGATCCAGGCAGGGCAGTATAACCTGGGGGAGGAAAGTACTTGATTAGAGGACAGTCTTTGTGGATAAAAGTATCTGGTATTATTTACAGCAAATGAGGTAGCAATGGGAGAACCAATCACAGACAGAAAGTGAGCAGAGATTGGGAGTGAGGTCAGGAAGGTTACTCACCAGAGGAGCCAGCTCTCCGCCAGCTGAGCAAACCAAGCGAGAAGATGATGAGGCCCAGGCCTAGGGTTGCTACAGACACAGAGACCTTCGCCGTCTGTACCGGGGACAGTCCAGGTGCTGCAGGAACAGAAACTTAGTAGAACCAATTTCTGTTGCTTATTGCCAGAGCAACTTTATTTATTTCAACCTCCATTTAACAGATTCAAATGTGCTTCATTCCAACCTCTCATTCCTCAAAACTGCTATCCTGTGAATCTCTATTCCTAGAATAACTAGCGAATCCCTAGAGGTAGCGCCTTAGCTTCTAGTTCCTCTCTTATACTGGGTTCTCTCAAGGCATCCTACTTTCTTCCTTCACCCCAAAGAATAAAGCGTCACTCATTCCCTTTCCATTTACTCCATGGTGACAATATTTGCTCCATTTCTTGCTCTGAGTTTATCCTATTAAAATGTGTTGCCACCTCTCCTAACCACAAATGGTTCTATTCTATAAGTTCTGCATCTCCTCCTGTCCACGTCCAGATTTCCCATGTGTTCTTCCAGAACCTGTTTCCACCCACTTCACAGTCCTCGAGCTGATCCTACTTTAAATCCTGTTCCACCTAGATTCCTTCCCCTTGCTAAAATGAACATCCCACAACTAAAAAGAACTCCTTGGGCAGGCTGGGAGACTTGCCCAGGAGAGCCTGAGAGTGCCACCCTCTGCTTCTCATGACCTTCTCAGCTGTCCAACAAGAGCCACACTCCCCACAGCGGGGAGGTGTGGCCTCAGCAGCCAGTCTGGGATCCTGTTCCCTGGCCCTTTGTAGACACCCTTCCTCTTCCTCATTTCTTCTTCTTCTCTTTCCCAAATCTGTGTGTAACTTCTCTTAATTCCCTTACTACTTCTGATCCTGGTGTTTGAGCAATTGTGATTGGTTCCTTGTTCATTAGCCCCCAAACATGCACATCCAAGTGTTTACCAGCCATGGCTTTTCCTCCCTGACTAAGCAGCCCAAATTCAGTACTGTCCCATGCCAGGAGAGAGCCCCCTTTCTTCTGCAACCTTCTTTACTTCTCCAATTCCCATTCCTGATCTGACAGCAGAATAGTTGAAATCCAAAGATCCTAGAATATTGCATCACAATTTTTAGTTCTGAAATCTACATCCTCTTTTCAAGACAGTCCTGCTCCCCTCCCACCCTCAGACAAGCACATGACATCAACACCACCACAGCAACAACAACTAACTTTCCATTCTTGTACCCCATCGGCCTGTCTTCTGTCATAAACCCTCCATAAGTTCCCCCACACCCACTTCTCATTCTCAGCATCTCCCTCTCTACCATACACCATGGACCTCTCCACATTTCACTCCCTCTGCCAAAATATTGGTGTTCATTTTCAACCTTTGTTCACTTTCAATAGCTTTCTGTTTTAACCCTACTTCCTCCCTCCTGTCACACACTTACTCCAGTACTGAAGGACGGGCTCAGGAGCCCCAATGTGCTCCACCACACAGGTGTAGGTGTCCCCAAAAGAAGGGGTTGTGGCTAAATGGGAGAGGGTCTGGTATGTCCAGTCTCCATTGGGCTGGGCAACCTTATGGGCACTGCCATGAGGAGGGACAAGCTGGCCGTTCTTCCTCCATGTGATGGTCACATCTGCTGGGTAGAAGCCCCACACGTAGCAGGCCAGCATCACAGGCTCCCTCGTGTTGAAAGGAGTGGTTTTGGCTACTTGCACAGATGGAGGCCCTGCATAGAGGAAAACATGGTCATGAGGGAGGGAGGGCCTTTTCTCCAACCTGGTTTCTTTCCTTCTTTAATTCTTCATGGATTTTGTCAAACTACTGTCTCCATGCCCACCCCAGGCCACCACACATCCCTTTAAAAGTAAGGAATCAGAATTTATTCCTGCTTCGCTCTTTTTTTTCTCCCATTCCTTCACTGCCCCTCTCTTTTTCTTCTCCAAAATTAGGTGTGGTCACAGTAAGTATAAGCCGGGTCTGACCCGCAAGCTGTTTCAGACATCACTGTACTTATCTCAAGCACACAAGCTAATGGTTGTCCAGAGTTGTAAGTTGGGGTTTATATAAAGGCAGACAAAGACTTTTGTCCTCAAACCTTATTTAACAAACTATTTTGCTAAATAAAGTCCTTTTTCCTCAGTTTAAGGAAACAAGCCTATCTCGGGACTCTCCTAAATTTGGATAGGTGTAGTTCAAATTAATGAGATTGTTAATATATACATTTTTTACTAATTTATTCTCCTAGGTGACCCACCTGCTTGTCTTTCTCTTGGTGCTTTTCAAACAAAATTTTAAAAATTGTGTTAAAGCACAGATTCCCTAGCCCGCATCCCCAGATATTTTCATTCCACAGGTCTGTGTGGCTCTCAAGGGCTCGCATTTTTAATGAGCTCCTTCCCCAGCCAATTCTGACAAAGGTGGCTCAGAAACCACATCTCAAGATGCAATACACTGTCCTGCAGAGATCAAGTTTCCTTTTACCAGTCTCAAGTCACTCTCAATGCATGGGATTAAGGATGAGAGCACACACGGTCAGAGGCTCTCTAAACACTCCTGTGCCTGGGTCCATCCCAGACCTAGAACATCAGGTCCTGGGACAGAAAGGCAGGAACAACTGGGGAAAGCCATTCTGGCTATTCTGACACGCCCCTGGGGGAACTGAGGGCTGCCTCCTGAGATGCCTGCCTAGGAGGAAAACGTGGACTCTCCCCTCAAGAGCTCCCTGCAGGCTCAAACATCACCTCTCCTCCTTTATTCCTGCTCCATCCCCACCAGCCACCTTGTGTTCCCTTCAGTGGTGACCCTCCTTTCTACATCCAGGTACGCACATTGTTTGTTTTCTGCCCAGATCTCAAACCCCTTGCCCATTGAATGTTCCTCCCTGGCCTCCCCTCTCTTAACTGTGCTTCCTAATAGCCCCTTGGCACCCCTCCCTCCTTACGTGTCCTTTGGGTCAGTGACGCCCAAAAGGGCTGTGTGTGTGTGGCACAGTCCTGGAGCCCTTCAGACAAGCGTTGGAGCAGGTTTTCCTGATTGTTGAGGTAACTGGAGAGGTAAGTGGCCAGGACATTCAGTGCCCCAAATTCAAGAGGGACCATTGCTCTCTCCTTTGGATCCCAGCAAGTCAGCAAATCTTTATTGAAGGAGATACAATATGTGAAATCCTGTGGAGTCCCATCATCATCCAACAGACAGGTGCTTTCCACATGGGCCACAAAGCCACCTGCAGGAGCCAGAGAAGAGGGCAGGTGAGAGACCAAGCTCAGTGACACCCAGGGAGTGGGGCACACATTTCTCACATCAGGCAGCATCTACTGACCAAGCTCATTAGCTGGAGTCCCCAGGTGCCCTGATTAAGGGACTAGATAGTAGTAGCAGAGGTGTTTTTAGAACCTGTTTCTTCCTTATGTGAGACTAAAGAGTGGCCCAAGACTATCTGCTTGTTTAAAAATGATGATTTACCCAGGACAATGTAGTTCCAATAAACCACATTGTTGAGTGAGAAAAGGGGTCAAGGGAAAGAGTCAGCCTTTTTCAGTGCCAGATGTGTTATTAAATATTCACTCCATACATATTTATAAGCATCTTTGTGTGCCAGGCACTGTGTGAGGGGCCGGGGATACAACAAAGACGACAGATGTGGTCCTTGCCTACATTACAGCAGGAAATCCATATTATTTCACAGGTAATTACACAGCTTAATTACTATTAAAATTGCTACAAAGGTACAATGCAAGTGCTATCAGATATATATAAATATATATATCATGTATAATATATATGTTATATATATTTTTATATATAACATATATATCAGATATAATAAGGAGACAAACTAGTTTAGGGCATCCAAATCCAATAACAAAACTGAAGTCCTTTTCCCAAAAAGGGCAAAGGAAGGCAGGTCCCAGGGAGGAATGTCCTTACCTGCTCCGGTGCAGCCCAGGCTGAGGCCCAGGAGCAGCCGCAGGAGTGTGGTCATGATTGGCTCTGGGGAGACACAGGGAATGCAGTCCCCTGGGCCACCTCTTCCAGCGGCCTGGAGTTCTCGCCTGCCCCAGAAACCCCACCCTGGGTGAATGATCTCCAGACCTTGAATGGAATATGGTATTGCTTGGGCCCCTTGATCTCCACTAAACAAGTGGTTTGGAGCCACGCAGTCCCTGGACATTAACTTGTTCCTCATCTAACAGGATTGTCAGATTGGCTAATAATCATAGAGACAAATCAGTGAGTGCCTCAGCCTAGTGTCATCAGTTGCTAGGTAAATCTCATCCTCCCCTAGGCTCTTAGCGACTCCTGGTCTCTTTCTTAACTCTTAACTGTGGAACGACCAGTCTGCAGGTGGATTTCCTTGGGTCCTAGTATCCCCAGGACGCTGTAGCCTGTCCTGCCCGCTGGTTTCCTCTCAATGTCCTCCCCAAAGACAGACTAGGTAACCTCTTTGTTCCTTAAAGGGAGGTTACTTGGGAAGATACTCCATAACCCTTGGTCTGCCCTGTCACCCAGCAGACAGAGCACACAGGCCCTTCTGGGGCAGGTGGCAGAGGCAGGACTGCTGAGAATGAAGGAGACAGGAGAGCGAGGGTTCTCTCTGGCCTCAGAGCAAGACAGAATCAGGAAGGCCAGTCCACCCTGGGTCAGGGACATGGGCCTGAAAATCCCTGCCTGGGCCCACAGTCTTTGTTCATCTAGCCAGTGGAGTTTCATTTCCTCCTTTCTGCTTTCTGGAGCAGGAAGCCCTATCCTCCTACACTCTGAGCCATCTCAGGGCAGACTGCAGGCTAGCTCCACTTAAACCCCTTGATAAACACTGGTGATGGGCCCATACCCAAAGCTCACCTGTCTCCCCCAAACTCAAAACCCCCCTGTGTGTTTCCCCCACTGGTCCCATTGAACCAGGGCAGGTCCCTGCATTATGAAGCCATGAGAAAAAAATAAGATTAAAGTTCTCTGCTTTCCTTCCCCTTGAAAAGGCACATTTTATTTTATTTATTTATTTACTTTAAATCAAATTTACTGGGTTGACATTGGCCAGTAGGTTTCAAGTGTACATTTCTATGGTACATGATCTGTACACTGCGTTGTTTGCCCACCACTCAAAGTCAAATCATCCTCCATCACTCTATGCGTGGCCCCCTTTACCCTTTACTAGCCCCCATCGCCCTGCCCTCTGGTAACCACCATACTGTTGTCTGTGTCTGTGAGTTTTTCCTGTTTGTTCATTTGTTGCTTTCAGCTTTATACTCCGCATATAAATAAAATCATATGGTTCTCATGATTTTCTGACTAACTTACTTTGGTTAGCATAATATTCTCAAGGTCCATCCATGTTGTCACAAATGGCAATATTTCATCTTTTCTTATGGCTGAGTAGGATCCCAATTTGGGGGAGTGGTGCACCCAAAGTAAACTGGGATTATCTTCTGGAGGACAGGCACCTTGTACCACAGGCTTTCCCCGCTGAGTGAGTGTTCTAGGAACCCATCTCTATCAGTGGACCAGCTGGCATTTTTGTGAGAGGCTGCATTTGGCTTTATTGAATTTTTCTGAAGACTCTTTCAACATGTTTGCCCATTTCATGATGGGTGATTTACAAATGTACCTCCCCATACTGCTCTGAGTGTTTGGCAGTTTTTGACCAAAAATGGCATGACCCCCATGCCCCACCCTCCCTATTCACCCAATCTTGCCCCAAATGACTTTTTTTTTTGTTTCCCCTGGATGAAAAAATTCCTCAAAGGGAAATGTTTAGCCAGTGTGGAAGAGGCGAAACAAAAAATGGCAGAAGCACTAAAAGGCATCAAAATCAACAAGTTCAAAACCTATTTTGAGAAGTGGAAAAAACATCACGATAGATGTATCAGATGGAGAGTACTTTGAAAGTGACTGAAGTTTAAACATGTAAAAGTAAATACACAATTTTTTATAAATAAATTCCTGTTTTGGGGGATTCCTCCTTGTATGTACCACATAGTCTTTATCCAAACATCTACTGAAGGACCCTTTAGTTGTTTCCATGCTTTGGCCGCTGTAAATAATGCTGCAATGAACAAGGGTGAGGGGTGCATATATCTTTGCAAATAAATGTTTTCAAGTTTTTCAATTAGATACCCAGAAGAGAGATTTCTGGGACATATCGTAACTCTTTTCTTAATTTTTTGAGAAACTTCCATACTGTTTTCCATAGTGGCTATACCAGTTTACATTCCCACCGGCAGTGACTGAGGATTGCTTTTTCTCCACAACTTCTCCATCATGTTATTACTTGTCTAATTGAAAATAGACATTCTAACAGGTGAGAGGTGTTATCTATTGTCTCATTGTAGTTTTGATTTGTATTTTCCTAATAGCTAGTAAAGTTGAACATCTTTTCATCTAACTGTTGGCGTTATGTATGTCTTCTTGAGAGAGGTATCTGTTCAGGTCCTCTGCCCATTTTTAATTGGATTGTTTGTTTGGTGTTGAATTATATGAAGTCTTTACATATTTTAGATATTAACCCCTTGTAGGAGCTGTTATTTGCAAATTTCATCTCCTATTCAGCTAATTGCCTTTTAATCAATATTGTGTTGTCTGGGTTTTTTTGTTGTTGTTGTTTTTGGGGGTTTTTTTTGCTGTGCAGAAGCCTTTTAATTTGATATAGTCTCATTCACTTATTTTTGCCTTTACTTCCTTTGCTTTTAGGTGTCAAATTCATAAAATGCTTTCCTAAGTTTAGTGCCTATGTTTTCTTCTATGCAATTTATTGTTTCAGATCTTATATTTAGGGCTTTGATCCATTTTGAATAATTTTTGTATATGGGGACATACTTTAATCTAGCTTGCATGTGCTTTGCAATTTTTCCACCACCACTTATTGAAGAGGCTTTCTTTTCTCCATTGTGTGTTTTTGGCTCCTTTGTCAAAAATTATTTGCTCATATTCTTGTGGTTTTATTTCTGGGCTGTCAGTTCTGTTCCATTGGTATGTGTGTCTGTTTTTCTGCCAATACTGTGCTTTTTTGATTATTATAGCTCTGTAGTATAATTTTAAGTCAGGTAATGTGATACCTCTGGCTTCGTTCTTTTTTCTTAGGATTGCTTTGGCTACTCAGGGTCTTTTGTGGTTCCAATACAAATCTGATGATTTTTTTTGTTCTATTTCTTTAACAAATGACATTGGGATTTTGAGGGGAATTGCATTAAAATGTATATTGTTTTGGGTAATATGGCCATTTTAACTATGTTAATTCTTCTAATCCACTAACATGGAATACTTTTCCATTACCCTGGAAAAGATGGATTTTTAAATGGCAATTCATCCTTCGATCCTATTGTGAACTATACCACTGGTGGCTTTTTCCATCACAAAGTTACACTGCTAAGTTGGTTTCTCTCTGTTCTACAACAGATTTCAGGGCTGCCCCTTCTCATGTTGGTTTCTGAAAGCTCTTGGATGTGATTTAACAGCCAGTTAAACAATAGAGGATTAAGAAGAAGCCCTCACTTGTCTGTCCTCCTCCAAAGTCTCTGACTCCAAGAAATTTCTGATCTTTATAAAAAAAAAAATAGAAGGAAAAAAACCAGCATGAACCAAAGGCAATACTGAAATGAATGAATATCAGAAGCAAAAGACTTGTTTCATATGATTGAGCTTAACTGAAGGTGTGCTCATGTTTCCTGGCCACCTGCACTCTCAACCTCACCCTGGTGATAAGCTTGTTCTAGGCTCTAACTCCTCTGATGAACCACGAAGTGCTTTGGAGTGGGCAGAAAATGGGGTGGGGGTCCAAGATTTGTTGAGCTTCTACTTTGTGACAGATTCTGTACTAAGCAGGTCTTTTATACACTGTCTCATTTAATCTTAGAAGACCTGTTAATTGTCCTTACTCTACAGTTTTGGAAATAGGTCCAAAGATACACACTCAAGGTCTAGAGGCACACACACACACACACACATACACATACACACACGCATGCACACACTTGAGTGTGCCCACATTCTCACTATCTCCTGGGACTTAGATGACCCTCACAGTTAGTGGTGCCTTCCAGAATTCCTTTTGCTCTTAGAACCAATGTCTCTTCCACTTTGTCTTTCGGTTTTCAAACTGGCAAAATCTCCTACACACACACACACACACACACACACACACACACACACACACACTTCCCCCATACGTCCTCCTCCTCCCGCTAGGTAGGAGGAAGCCTAATCTTCCAAGAACTAGGTCTTGGGATCCTTTTCAATGTTTACAAAGCCTGGCCTAGCACAGGACTTCTCACCCACCATGTGGCCTGCGCCGGTGTGGCCCTCGGCCAGCGCACTGGTGCTGAGCGGAGTCCCTCTCGTGTCTAAGTCTCTGCTCTGGAAGTCAAAGTTGTGAAACCTGTAAGGAGCAGCAAGAAATGTAGATTTCACTTCTCTATTAATGAGAAGACTGAGAGCAATTTTTAGAATAAAGAAGGACAAAAAAACCCAGAGACCTGTGCTCAGTGAAGCAGTTTCATCCTTCCTCTCTTTCTCTTAACCTTATTTTTTATTTTTTACAGGCATAGCTCTGTCCCCTACCTCTAGTCAACCCAAAGACTATTTCAACTGCCCTGTCCATTGCTGGTGATTTTATACCTATTTATGTAGCATTAGGACTGCAGAGGTTAGGGAACCCCAGCCAGCATTCCAGATGCTGCCCCAATGTCACTACCACTACGTAAGGGCCCCTGCAGTGAGTCCTCCCTTTCCCAGGTGCCAAAAGTGTACTAACCAAGGTGTGTGTAGGTGCAAAGCACTACAGGGGATATCCAGAGCTAGGAGATACGGAGTCTGCCCCCCATCACTCGTCATTCACTTGGAGGTCAGTTGGGGAGTAAGAATAAACTTCTACAAAGAGAATATGTTAAGGTGAGTAAGCAGTAAGTCCAGTGGACTTAAAAGAAAAAAGAGAAATCATTGTGGATGTGGTGGACAGGAAGTCCTCTCCATTGAAGGGTCCTGCAGGTGAGCCTTGAACATGGGTTTGAATTTGAGTCAGAGATGAGGAAGGCGGTTGGTTCTCAGTCATGGCATGTGCCTCCACAAGCCTGGCCACATTATGAGGTGCTATCCAAAGTCCACCAGGGGCCTGAGCCGGCTAAAACAAAAATGAACTATGATAACGTCATTGGCATTTCACATTGAAGGAGGTCACAAATGTGGTTTCATGCTTTTCCTGAGACTATGGCCATGATAATAAATTTCTTCCAGGTACTTCCTAAAGTCACTCCCTCCAAATTCTCAGGTTCCTCTTCTGGACAGATGGTTTTAACTCAAATCTGAACTTTATAAACTCAAAATTTGCTCAACCCATTAATCTAAAACCAATAGCATGAGAGCACATTTGTGACTTCTTTCAATGTCTCTTTAAAACAACGCACCCCTGCACCTACCAGAGGACGGCACCGCTCTGCAGTCTGTCAGCTGGGCTCCGTCCCGCCTCCCACTCCCTCTCCCCTATCAGGCTTTCCTGCTCTCGAGTCTAGACCCTGACCTTTGGGTTACAGTTGCTGTAACTAGTTCATCCTCCTTCCATCCTGCAGCCAAATTACTTGAACTACTAGAGAATATTCTACATGATTTGCCCCAAAAACTCCTGAAGAGTATTAGCTCCATTTTAACTATGAGAAAATGGAGGCAGAGAGAGGTTAGTAACTGCCCAGATTCACCCAGATATGAGGTAATAAACCATAACTTGAACTCAGGATTTATGATTCTAAATCCTATATTCCTCGGAATCAATAAAAAATAATTGAAAATTGCCAATAATTTATAATAGTAATAAAAACTCTAATGTATCTAAAAATTAACATACAAGTATAAGAACTTTATAGGAAAAAAAACTTTGTTAAATGACATAAATTAAGATCTCAAGAAATAGCAGACATATCATTTTCATGGATGGGGCATCCTAAAATAATGAAAAAGCCAATTTCCCCCACCAAAATCCCTAACCAAAATGATGTCCCAACCAAAATCATAGAAGGATTTGGGAAGAATTTGATAAACTGATTCTAAAATGTACATGGAAATAAAGCCCATGAGTATCTTGGACAATTCTGATAAAGAAGAGAATATTAAAAAGCTTTATTTTAAATGACTTTTTGATATTCTTTATCTATTTTTTGATTAAATATTTGTAGAATTTTTTCCCTAAAAAATCCCCCCCAAACTATTAACCCTTTCTAGATGTGTTGCAAATACTTTCCTATTCTATTACTTGTCCTTTAACTTTTGTATATGTATATTACTGTATAGTCTTAAATGTTTAATGTAGTAATATTGTCAATATTTTACTTTATAGCTTCTGGGTTTGAATATTTTACTTCAGGGTAAGAAAAATGTTATTTTGTATTTTCTCCTAAAACTCCTGAGATTTTACATATTGATTTTTAACTCACCTGAATATTTTTTGTATAATATGTGAAATAGGGCTCTATATCTGTTTTATTTCAAGTAATAGTGGTCCATGCACCTTATTTTACCCATTGATTTGAAATATCAATTTAATCATGCATTACATTGTTAGACAGACATATACATTTTTTCTAGAATGCTCATTTTATTTCATTTATCTACTTGATTATTTCTGTGCTGGAGTCATGTTTTACTTGCTAAGACTTTATAAAGGATGTAAATTTTTTAATATTTTATCATGGATTTTGACATTTAAAAAATAAAATAAGTAAAATCAATATGCATGTAAAAAAAAAAGAAAGAAAGAAAGATGGAACTCCTGCCTTTTGTGACAACATGGATGGAACTGGAGAATATTAAGCTAAGTGAAATAAGCCAGTCAGTGAAAGACAAACACCATATGATCTCACCTATAAGTGGAATCTATTCAACAAAATAAACTAATGAACAAAATAAACCACAGGCATGGAAACATGGAGCAGACTGAAAGTGACCAGAGGGGATGGGGATGGAGAACAATGGCGGAAAGAAGGGGAAGGGACTAAACAAAGAACATGTATGAATGACCCATGGATATGGACAACAGAGTGGGAATTGACTGTGGGAGTGGGAGGTTGGGATGGGATGGGTAGAGGGGGGCAGAGGGAGAAAAATTGAGACAACTGTAATAGAATAAACATGATTTAAAAATTTTTTAAAAAAGCTTTAGTAATTACAACAATATGATACTGACACAGGAACTGAATAATCCATAGAGAAATCCATGCATATAGGGGAACTTGATATAAAATCCCTAGAAGTAAATGGAATATTTGGGAAATGGTATTAAAAAGACCAATTTACTATTTAGAGAAAAAGAAAGTTTTATCCTTACACCACATAGAAAAATTCTAGATCAATAAAGATCTCTATGTGAAAGGAAAGCAATACCACTAATAACAGCACGGTAGAATACCATATACAGCCAGATAATATAAGGGCATTTTATTTTTACCCAAAATTATTCATCAGGAAAGAAGGAATTACCTTATATATAAGTCCTGAAGACCTTTTCTTTTCAAATTAAGCCCACTTTCTCAAAGCTATTTGGAGAAGATACATTATCCTAAACTGGTCTCAATTAATAAATTCATGAGAAGAATTAGAAGAAAATTGTTTTATGAAATGTGAGAGTGGAAATAGCAATATGCCTACATTAATATATTACATTATAAAATGTGAATTTAAATTTGTGAGTTGGTAACTAAATAAAGGTAGTTTGACTATTTGACTATTTCCCTATAAATTCTATATCACTAAAATTTTATATATTAAAATTTGTCAAAAAAACCTTTGAAATGTTTTCATTGAAAAAATGGGGTATTACTGTATCACTTTATAGTCCATCAAAAATTGTAACTTCATTTTCTTATGGTTAGAAAGCACTTCTTAAGATCATAAAAGCACAAACCATAAGGATTTTGAAGTCAAAATTAAATCTATTTAGGGAAAAAAACTGTGTATAAATTTAACTTATGAGCAGCAAACTGGAAGAAGACATTTGCAATATTTATACTGACATAAGATTACTATATAGAATATATTAGAAATCCCCACAGATTCACAAGAAAATGCAATTTTTTAAATAGACAAAAGACATGAATCAACAACTCACACAGAGAGAACCCTATAATAAGATGCTCAGCCTCACTAGTAATGAGAGAAAGGCAAATTAAAATGAGATACCACTTTACACCCACCATATTGACAACATTTGAATGTCAAATAATCTCATGTGTTAGTGATGATCAAGGAAAATAAGAACTGCTTTGCTCTGTTGGTGGGAGCATAAACTGTTATCCCTGAATTATGGAAATTACAAACTAGTTGAGTGAAAAAAATTAAAATATGAAACAAGGCAGAATATCCTTGAGAGTAAGGCCCGGGTTGAGTGCTTCCAAGACTCCAGCACTAAGTCTTGGAAGAGCTTAATAAAGACTAATTAGGGCCGCAGGATTAGGCAGAGGTTCACAGAAGAGGTCAAACCTGGGCTGGATCTATAATGCTGGTTAAGATAAGAACAAGCAGAACAGAACAAGAAAGGTATTCTGGTGAGAGGAAAAACCCTGAGTAAATGCACTTAAATGAATGAAGCAGACATGATACTGTCAAGAAAGAGAGAGAAAACACACTCATTGAAGAACAGGACTCCAGCTGGGAAGAATGGATGATTTTTTTTTTTTTTATTAGAAGGGTACCCAGCCCTAGCCAGTGTGGCTCAGTTGATTGGAGCATAATCCCATACACAGAAAGGTCCCAGGTTTGATCCCCAGTCGGAGCACATATCAGGAGGCAATTGAGGCAACTGATCACATTGATGTTTCTCTCTCTCTCTCTCTCTCTCTCCCCCCCCCCTCATCTCTCTAAAATATATGTATTTTAATGGTTAAGATGATAAATTTTTTTTAAAAAAATTGAAAAAGAAAAAAAGGAAGGGCACCCAGAGTAGAGAGCATCTTGAATGCTGCTTGGGTATTCTAAGTGACAGTCTAATAGAATGCTTGATCAGAAAACACCTAACCTCAACTCATCATTTTACAGATGAGGAATTTCATGCCCAGAGAGGGCATGGAAATTATCTAAGATTACACAGCATAACAAAAGCAGCTTTAAGGTTTGACTGGCAGGAATTTCTGGATAAGTTGGAAAATAAGTAGAAATTAGGAAGAAGTAGGAAGCAATAAGAGATGGATGTAGAATGGTAAAGCGAAAAGAAAAACATCTCAAAGGGAGAAAATACTTGAAGGTAGATTCAAAACAGGTTCTAGAAAAGAGAAAGAAGTCAATGATGCTAAGTTCCCCTGTGAAAATCTTTGCTAAGTTATTGAGCACCTTTTCTATGTGCCAAACACTGTTCTAGGCATCTGACAGATAGTAATTTATTTAAGCTTCACAACAATCTTATTAATGTGGGCACTACTGTAATCATCATCCTTTTACAGAATATGATTCCCAGGCACAGAGAGGTTAAGTAACTTATCCAAGAGTACACAGCTAAAATTTGCAGTCATGACTGAATTCCCTGCACTCTGGTTTCATAGCCCATACTCTTAACTCGTACATATGCTGCTCTTAGAAATGAGGTGGTTCAGAGAGGCTCCAGCTTCTGAAAAGAATTGGTGTTTTCCCTTAGATTAGATTCTGGTACAATGCAAAGAACAGAGACTCCCTCACCAAAACCAAAATAATTTCATTCTTAACCTTAATGCCACCCCCTCCTCCAAAGCAATTCCCAGACCCTAAAGAAAGCAAGAAGCCATGTTCAGGTTAAGACATGTTGAATTTGAAATGAGAACTCACTCAAGTTGAGATATCCAGAAACAAACATCATGAGTTTAAAAAAGATTTATTGCCTTGAAGTGGGAAGGATTGTGGTCATGATGGAAAGGTCACTCTGGGTTCCCCCGGATGCCAGCCTGGGGATAGCAGAGACCCCATCTGAGAAACCTGTACAGGCACATGCACAGCCGGGGGAGTCCCAGGCCTTCTGCTCCAAGAAGGAGCAACCCTAGGCAGGATGTGAGAAGCCTAGGTACCCCCTGCTGGGATGGCCGAAGGTGTTGGCATCAGGCTCTGATCAGGAAGAATCAGTCTGAGGAGAGAAAATAAGGGAGGAAAGCCATCAGGGGGATCCTCCTCCTCCCTAAGAGCCCCTCCCTGCCTGCAGCACACCCTACAGAAACTGATCTCTCCTTGACCCCATGTCACCTCCAAGCATCCTTCCCCATATCACTCTGCCACTCCAAGCCATCTCTGTCACCCATAACTGTGTGGGTAACTAGGACCACAACAAGGTGAATGCCCAGGGTGCCCAATATATCCTACCCACCCAAGGGCCTGAGGGTCACTCTAAGTCCTCCCCATGCTTGGGATAATCCTGGCACGCCTGCCCACGCACCACTTTATGGCTCCCACAGCCCACCAGCCCCTCCAGATGCCCCGATGTACCACCTGAGCAAGGCTTCCGGAAGTAGATGATGAGGACCAAGCCAACAATGATGCCCAGCACACCAAGACCGAAAGCCATGCCGCACAGCACATTCTCCAGAAGATCTGAGGGCAGTGCGCTGTGGGGCACTAGAGACAAAGGGAAGTGGGTGGGCCCCAAGACCTTGCTGGGGAGCCCCCCACCCAGGAGAATGATGTGTCTGGGATGACAAGGGAGAAATGGAGGCATGGAAGGCCGAGGTTGGCTCTGAGTGACAATGGACTAAACAATGTCCAAGTAAAGAAAGAAAGCCCTCACGTGAGTCTATCCCTTTTTGTCCCCAAATGAACCAGGTGTCCAGGGAGGAGAATCTCACCCCAATAGGCAATTGCTGTGCAGCCATCAATCTCATGAGTCACAGCACAGGTGAAAAGGTCAGAGGGTGCCGGTGTGAAGTTTAAGTAAGAAAAGGCCTGGAAGCTGAGTCCATCAATGGCTGAGACAAAAGTGGGCCCAGCACCTTCCACGGGGGCTGAATTATGCTGCCAGGTCACCGTCAATGTGGGTGGGAAGAGATTACTGACAAAACAGACCAGCGTGTTGGGCTTGCCAAACTCCAGGGGCTTTAGCGTGAACACCTCAGTGACAGGAAACCCTGGGGAGGATTGAGGTATAAGGGAAAAAAGGGACAGTTTAGATGGTGCCACAGTGTTTGAAGGGGGTGCAGAGACAGAGTCAATGGGGACAAGCTTTGTGGGGATAGATGAGGGAGGCACTGGGGCTCTGAGGGGGTCTTCCTCTAGGTGAGAACCAGAGCCGGACCTAGAGTCAGAGCCAGATCCAGGCCACCCTGCAGCCATCCACCCTGACTGCCTGCAGCACTTCCTGTCAGTCCTCACAATGGCATCTAATCACAAGCTGTCTTCTCATTAAAACACAGGTGCATCGTGAGGGACTTCCACTCTCTTCTTTCCATCTTGCTGGGCACAGTAACACAAACACATATTCACTAGTCTTCAACTGCTCCCTGCTAACTCCATCAAGTGTAATAAATACAATAGCTTTGAATGCCTCTACATCTGGGCACTTGTCTCTGACCCACAACAAAAACAGGCACCAAAGGTGGGGCAGTTGTGAAGGAAAGCAATTCAAGTACAGATTAATGAGGTTAAGAATGCAGCCCCCACCCCACTCCTGAAAAGCCCCTGACCTCTAGACACTGGGATTTGCCCTTCAAGTTTTGGGCCTATTTCCTGGATCATGGCTTGGCAGAATCCTTTGTCAAAGAAAATGGAGGAAGTATCTCCAGACTTCTGAGCCCAGTCAGCAAATTCAGGCAGGCGAGGCACTCGAGTGTTCTGGGAAAAGTTGAAGGAGAAAAGCTGGTCCTCATCGTAGGCCTCTGAGAGTCCCAGGCTGGGACTCCAGTTCTGACAGTACATTGTGTGCTGGAACGTGTGGTTCTGCAGATTATCTCGCCACCCTGCAGTAGGGGTGGAAAGGAGACAGGGTGGGGTTCAGGGAGGGGGACCTCCTCCTTCTCCTCTTTAGCTTAGAAAACAGCCAGGCCTGCTGCAACCAGAGGGGCAGGGGTGGGGTATAACCCCCATAGTGTCTTTTATTTGGGCTCTCCCTCCTAGCATGGGTGAAAAATAAATTACTGGGATCTCTCCAAACTACCCCACCCATGAAAATGCCAATTGTCTAAAGTTGTAAAAAGTAAAAGTGGTCTACGGTCTAAAGTGTCACAGTGTTGGTTGCGGTTTGTGCACTGCTCAAAGGCACCCAGCTAAGGAGGCAGCTGGAGGCTGAAATTCAGCCTGCATTCTGCTCACCAAGACATGCGTCCTGGCACAGGGCTGCATCCTCCCAAAGGGGAGACCTCTGTCTAATTCACAGGCCACCACAGTCACTTGTGGAGGTCCTGGATGGGTTCCCCAGTCTTAGAAGGGAGAGTGAAGAAATGGTTATGGCCTCCCCAAGCTATAGATGACACTGTCCCTCCTCTGCTCAGACACACGTGGTAAACTGAAAAACCGCCTCCAGGCTTCTTTTCAACCACTTCCTTGGCACCAGGCCTCTATGAAAACATGTTCCCCTCCTTGCTCAACTGTCCAGCTGTTGCAATGACAGGACTAGGGGAAGTGACCCCATAGCTGCCAGAAACAATCCCTAGTCTATGAAACTTCTGGCAGGAGTCCTCCCAGCTACCAGGAAACCTACCCAATACCCTACACGTAGAATAATAGACATTCAGAGTAAAAGGGATCTTCCAGGTTATTCTTCCATTCTGTCCCATCCTTATCAGAGAAGGAAATTAAGGACCAATTAACCAAGGTGAGTTGATTACAGACTACATAGTGACCCTTCAGTGGAACAGTGTTAAAATCCCAGCTCTACCACTTTCCAATGTGTGAATTTGCATGAGATACTTAAATTCTGAGTCTCATTTTCTTCATCTGAAAATGGATATTATAATTTGTGCTTCAAGAGACTCTTAAATGAAATATGTAAAGCACCCCTGACACTGTCAGCCATCCATCCATAGTAGCTTTTCCCCAAATCTGTTAGTTTCACTATCCCACAACACTTCTAACCACTTATTAAGCACAGGGCTCTTCTTCCAGTGCTCTGGGTTGGCTCCCTAGGCCCGAGCCCCGACAGGACTGAAGCAAAGGGGAGATGCTGTCATACCTTGAGGGGCGGTCCAGGAGTGGGGCAGCAGCCACAGAAGGTGTAGCATATGCAGCAGTGCAGGTCCGGGGCGCCACTCATGATCCATCACTTCACCCACACTGTGAGCTAGGAGCAGCCCACCAGCTCTCCAGACTCCGTCCCGAGAGCATGTTCTGACAGCTCACTTCCAATAGTTCACTTGCCATTTTGGCTAAACCAATCACAGAAGTGAAGGCTTTTACATCACCAGTCTCTGGGGAGAGAGGGCCGGGGCCAGCAACCTCCTGAAGACTGCTCTTTCACCAGGCCAGAATAGGGTGTGTAACTGGGCTGGGTAGGCGTGCAGGAATGTCTGCCTCCTGGTGGGGACCCCTCTCAATGTCGGCTACAGTCTCAGCCTGTAATCTAACCCTGTGCCCTGCCGGTGAATCTCCTCTTCCCACAGCAAACCGACAGGGCTCTTCAGCCTCTGCTTTCTGCCCACCCTCAAGGACCTCTCCAGGCCCCCTCCTCCTTCCATCATCAGCTTGAGTGCATTCTGCAGTGCTGGGAAATACATGGGTGAATAAGGCATATTCCTGCCTTCAAAAGCTTAAAAATCTAGTATGTGTTTGGAGGGAGGGTCAATAAATACACAATATAATGTATTTAAATACGAATGTGCCAAGTGTTTTGGAAGTAGTAATTTTATAAGTTGAAGGAATAAGTGAGGCATTTCAGGAAGGCTTCTAAGAGCCTTGAAGAAAAAACAATTTGACTAAAAGAACATGAGGGGAGAGAAAAGCATTCCAGGTTGAGGGACAGGCAAATGTGTAAAAGTTGAAGGCATTCAGAGCACCTTCCTGTGGGGTCACCTGTGAAGTCATATGTGAATGTTGTGGAGACCACTCCTCTGTCCCTGTTCGGTCTTGGGGAGGGGTTGGGGAGTGTCAAGATGAGCTAGAACCAGATCACATAAGCCCTGTTTTGCCACAAGGAGGGTCTGGCTTGTACTTAGCAGATGATGGTGATACTAAAACTGAAGAGTGAACAACCATTTCAACAATTAAAAAGAATTGTTCTGATATTTCAAACAATGGAACTTAGAAAGAATTGAGGCAAAACTGTTGGTCACAAGTCTGTAGTATATGACACCAAAATAAAGAGCTGCACGCACACGCTGCCCTCTTGTTGCAATATAGCCGTGATTTAGGTAACAAACGTTAAGAACCCAAGTTATCAATAGACGTGGGACTCTTTTGGAGTCCAAAGGCAAAAAATTTCCTGAAACCCACACAGGAGGATGTGGCTTTCTGGTAGGGTTTATTGATGATGTACAATTAAGGGGGTGCTCCTCTTGACTTCCCAGTGTCCCTTCTTTGTCTATCTTACCATGAAAGAAGTCCAATCTTGTCTTCAGTAGGGCCAAGATGAAGGCTGCTGCCCACAGTTTCTGCTCCATATCAAAGCACAGTCCAGGCCAACAGCCAGAGAGTTTAGTGTGTTTCCAGCTGCAGTGCATTGCTGTACTATGGTATTCAGGCTTTCTCCTGGAGGCCAGGGCCACATGGCTAAGGCTTCATGGCCATGAAGAGAACAGGTGCATGTACTGTGTGAGCGTGGGTCACAAGCAATAGAGAAGAGAGGAGGGAAGAGAGAGAGTGTGCGCGTGCTTCTCTGTTCCCCTGGGGTTATATTAGTTTGGGCTTGGGATGGGCCAGGAACTTTCTCAAAAGAACCAGTCAACTTCCCAAGTTTTTGCGGGCTTTGAATAGGTTTACACTCTCTAGTTAGACTAATAGGCCTCTATGGTCCAGCACCTCTCCCTGGGCCCCCCAACAATCTGGTGCTGGAGGCGGTGCGGGGGGAGGGAGGACTGTTTATCCCTGTGGTGGAGCACTTTGCTATAATCTCCTGGGGTGTGAAACTGCAACTTCCTGGTGAAGCAAACAGCCTCATGCTTTCCATTTTATTAGACATTAAGCTTAATGTCTAATTTTGAGCCCATTTTATTAAGCTCAATGTCTAGTTCCCTTTGCTCTCTTTCCTTTATCAATATCTAGCTGAACACTGGTGGTAACAAAGTTATGAAGAGAGGAGATGGGAGAATCAAATATTTGGATAATTTGGAACTAGAATCTAAAGAGCTTGGCTAGTGACTGGGAAGGTGAGGTGGAGGGTCAGGGATAACATCAAGGTTTCTAGATTGGCTGGCAGGGTGAGTGGTCAGTGATGGACTGAACTGAAAAAGAAAAAAAATGGCATAGAAGCAGATTCGATGAAGAGAATTCAGTTTTATGCATGACAAATTTGAGATGTCCATAGAACAGCCACACAGGGCATATGGGTACGGATTTCCACTTTGGGTTGAAGAACCTTCATTTGAGAGCCATCAACACAAATCTTGAAGCAGAGGTGGTGGATGAGATCACCCAAGTGAACTGCGCAGAGATGACTGGGGAGAGACACAGAATATAGTTTGCAAGAGTTCAAACCCAGACCTCACACCTGTCAGTGTCTAGGATCCGGTAAGGAGTATATAACTACACTAGGGATTTCCGACTGAGAGATTTAATAAAGAGAATTCATTACAAAGGCAAGAAGTGCAAAAGGGAAGAGTGGCTGGAGGTGCACATAGGAGAGAGGAACACCTGGAAATCAGAAGCTGCTGTTGCCAGAGCTGGAATCCATGTACACCTGCTGTTGCCCTAGGGCACACACTATCATAGTCCATTCTGGATCTACTGAAAAGCTGTCACCTCTAACAAGGCTGGATCATTGAGAAGGCACTTCCTCTGCCCAGCAGGCTAGAGTCCAGAATCACCTGTCCCTGCTGCTGCTGTAACTACCTGCTACTGCCAGTCAGTCAGAGTCTAGAAAGCAGGAAGCTTCTCAGTTTCTCCTGCCTTCTGAGCTTTCTCCTACTGACAGAATCTAACAGGAAGGCAAATGGCCAGGAGGGCTCAAAATACACACCTTGCAGAATCCTGGACTTAGCAGTCCAGGACATGGTATAGGCACTCACTGTCACAACTGCATGATAACCAGTACACTAAAATGTACTGACTTGTGAGAATCTGGCGGCAGCAGCAGGAGCATCTAAAGAGCTGGAACAACACAGAGTAAGCCAATTAAGAGAAATAGAGGTATTCTGTGAAGAAGGGCAAGGTCAGCATTATCAACTGCTACTCAGAAATCAAGGAAAGACTGAAAAGGGTCCTTTGGTTTGGTTATTATGAGATGGTTGACAGATTAATGGAGAGCAGTTTCAGTGTTGTAGTAGGAGTGACTCCAGATGGTCGTGGGCTGAAAAGTGGGAGGTGAGGAAGAAACTGTCAGCATATAGCTGCAAGTTTGATAGAGTAGAAAAGAGAAAGACAGAAGGGGTGGGGGAAGAACTAATGTGGCCACTAAGCAATAGAAATTAATCTGTTAATATGGTCCATCCATATTTCTGAGAATTTCAAAATACGTACTCCCTTTAGAAAAGCAAGTAACAGCAATAACAGCCCAAAACAAAGGCAACCCCATGACCTCCTGGATATTCTGAGACGTCGGTGGGGGTGGGAGTAGGCGGTGTGTGGCAGGCAGGGTGCCAGGGTTGGGGGAGGGTTTGAAAATCACTGTATTACACTCCAAAAAACAGAATCACATTTTCCCAGTGTCCCTCCCTTTGTGGACTAACCCATGTTAGTTGTTGTGGTGGGAAGATTCAGGCCCCTAGGAAAGTAAAGTCTGTGACATCACCAAGCTGGTAGGAGATATATGGCATACAGCCACCCAGGGTGACAGCAAACTTTTTCTGTGAAGGATCAGATAGTAAATAGTTTAGGCTTTGTGGGCCACTGTCTGGGTCATCACTCAGCAAGGCTTGCCAACAGCCCCAGGCAACATGTCAGTGAAAGAGCAAAGTGATGTGTCCTGTTTCTTCTCCCACTCCTTGGGCCTCTCCTTTGGTCTCCTTCCTGGACTACTTTCAGCTATTCTTTAAAATATTGGTGTCCGTGGAGTTCTGTTCTTAACCTTCTTTTTACCTAAGGACACTGATATTTAAAATTCATATAAGTTAGATACAAAATATAATTTTTTCAACCACTTAAAAATGTAAAAACCATTTAGTACTCGGGCCACATAGGAACAGACGGTGGGCTGGATTTTGCTCACAGACCGTAGTTTGCTGAACCCTGTTCTATGCCTGTAGTCAGAATTGGGGTGGGGGAACCAAAATAAACCCACCCTCCAAAGAAGAGCCTCATTAGCCCTTGGGAATGACAACTGGTTAATGAACACATTGTGTCCCAGATACAATGGACTGTTTGGAAGGAGGTCTAGATGGGAGGGCTGGGAAAACATATAGCAGATGCTGCAACTACTCTGGGTGGGAGGAACAAGGGAAAGCGTAGAGGGTGGACAAAGCCAGCATGAGAGTGATAACTTCTGTCACCAGGACAAGAGTGGGGTGCGGCTAATTACTTGTTCAAACACTAGTAACTACCTTTCCTTCTTCCTGTCAGGACCCTCCAACAACCTCATAATATCTTGAGGTTGATGCAGGCTACATACGGCACCAACCTCATGGCTCTATGGCCCTATAGGAGGAGGGTTCAGAGAAAGGACAATGGCTTCTACCCATCTTTCTGTCTGGGAGAGAGCTGTCCTCCAGCTCTCATCTTGATGCCAGACACATCACTTCTTCCCTGGATGCCACTGGTGCGTTTCAAGCTGCTACCGCAGTGCTGGAGCTCAGAGGGAGTGAGTGTGAGGAAGCTATTAAATCCTCACAGAAGCTCTTCAGTCTATCAGTGAAGTAGAGCTTGAAGATGCACTGGAAAAAAATCATTGATGCAGTTGAAAAGCAACCTGTCATCCACCATGATTGGACAGCGTGTAGTGGAAGCAGCAGTCCAGGAAGGCAGTCAGTCAGTAGGTGAAACCATAGAACATATTTTCAATATCATAGGAGCATTTGATATTTCATGCTTTGTGTACAATTGAAAAAAAAAAAAACAACTTCTCCCTTTATTCTGCACCAAATTTATTTGGAACAGCGAGAGATAAAGCAGAGCTGTTTCGTGAATGATACACAATTTTGCACCAGAGGACCCAAAGACATGAACTGTTTATTCCTCCAGTGATAGGTTCTCACCCTGATGAAAGTGGAAGTGAATTCCAGCTTAAAACAGTAGAAACCTTATTGGGCAGTATGACGAAAATTGGAGATGTA